AAAGGTACAATGTTGACCTATCAAAAAATGATATGGAAACATGGTATTTGTTTTTTTAGGAAGAGGGGGACGTTTTAGGAGTGATGGTTGTGAGCGAACAAAAGAGAGAGAGTTTTAAGATGTGAGAGATTTGTGACATTTAGGCTACGTTCACACTGCAGGTCTTAATGCTCAATTCCGATTTTTTGATCAAATCCGATTTTTTTGTCTGCTCGTTCACACTACAAATAAAATGTGACAGCACACGCGCTCTAGTGTGAACGCTCAAAGTGGCCCGCATGCGCAAAAGAAGACGTCACACACAACGCGCTCTGTTTACACCCAGAGCAAACAGCATTGTTTGACTGATGGTCTTAATATAAAGACTTCGGACTTGTGTTATTTTGTTATTTACATAATAATGTAAATACATAATAATGTAAATAACCTAATAATGATCCTTATTGCTGTTTTAGAGGAGCGGTGCTTCAAAGGATAGCTGTAGATTTCTGTCAGAATCTGCAGAATATACAGTGCAAATAAAATGTTCACGTTTCTCCAACGTTGTCTTCCCAACAGTTTCACTGGATGGCCAGGAAGCGTTCACGATGTCTTCTCCGGCGCTGATAATTGCCGTCTGTCTTGTGTCAGTGACGTAAAAGACGGATTTAATGCGACATGACCGTTCAAACAGCAGTCGCTTTCTGAGACATCAGATATGTATCGGATTCAGTACCACATACGAAAGTGACCCAGATCGGATTTGAAAATATCGGATTTGTGCCGTTCACACCGTCACACCATGATCGGATATGGGTCGCATAGGGTCAGAAAAATCGGATTTGATGCGCTTTCGCCTGCAGTGTGAACGTAGCCTTAGTGTGTTTAGATAGTGTAATTGTTCGTGTTCAGGTTATTTTCTACGTGCTCGTGTTTATCTGTGCCACCTTTCTGTCTCTGTGCATTATGTTCTAGTTCCACTGCATATGTCATTAGTCAGATTATGTTCAGCCCTGTACTCACCCTGCTGACAGTACCCCCCACTCCCCCCGTCAAAGGCCGGCACTCGACCAACCAAAAAAGGGTGGGCGGATGGGACCCAGGACGGGGGGACAGACTCCAAAACAAAGACAGTTCAGGTGGGCGGCCACGTGACCAGTGGCTGAGACAAGAAAGACAGTTCTGGTGGGCGACCACGTGACCGGCGGTGATGCTGGAGTAGATATGGTGGGTGGCCGCGAGCATGGCAGCGGCAGCCGCAAGGAAGACGGCGGCTGCCACTGAGCAGGTCCGGCGGTGATGGAGGAGCAGCTGCAGGTGACGGCTTGGGAGGTGCAGGTGCAGGTGCGGAAACCTCTGGCTGAGGAGCGAGAAAGCTCACAGCTGGCTCCGAATGCTGTGGCGGCAAGTCAGGGAGCAGAACAGGATGATACATGAGTGACTGGGCCAAAGACTGGGTAGGAGACTGGACTACAGGCTGAACTGACTGGACTACAAAAGACTGGACGACAGACTGGACTGGCTGGAAGACGGGCGATTGGGGGACAGGAGGAGACTGAACCAACTGGACAGGAAAGGCCGGTAGATTAACAGAGGTAGGGGAGGCTAATGGCTGAGGTTGGTGAGGCTAATGGCTGAGCTAAAGACTGAGTTAGTGAAGGGGACAAAGCTGCAGCCTGGGCTAGCGCATCAGGTGCTTGAGCTGGGAAGAGCTCAGCTAGCCTAACTAGAGATAGTGTGAGGGCATGGAAAGCTGGATCAGGAGGTGGATGGAGTGATAAACTAGCAGGTGGACGGGCTAGTTCTTCGAAGCCTCTATACAGGTCTGGTTGGGTTCTGGCTGCCCTCAGCCTGGGTGCTGGGGCAGGCATGGAAGGTGGCTGGACGCCAGTCACCTTCCCACCCAATGAACACGAACAGCTGCAGGAGTGGACTGGGTCGCAGCTGCCCTCGTCCTGGGCAGCTGGTACAGGTGTGGGTGTAGTCTGACTGATAGGAGTGGAAATAATGACTGGGTGAGTGATACTGAAAGGTAGGTGCAGGAGGATTTTTAAGAGTAGCCTGGGCTGATGAAAACTAAACAGGCTGACAGGTGGACGATGGAGCAGTCTCAGATAAAACAGTCCTAGAGTGAGCAGACCAAGGGCTTGAGTACACAGGGACCATAATAGATTTATCAGAGACTGTTCTGTCCCTTCTGCCATCACCATTTACAGTCTTTAATTGAACAGTCTTCGGGGGTGTTGAAGTGCGGATATTGTCCTTAATAAATCCCAGCTCAGAGGGAGCAGAGCAGAAAAATTCTTCCCAGTTCACATCATCCTCCAGGAGGGAAACTCCCCATGGATCGGAGATTAGTCTATTATTTGTTTTAAGTGAAGAATGAAATGAGGAGGGTGGAAAACAGTCACTGGAACTCAACACGGGGAGTCGCTCAAAACGGTCCATTTTATGGTGGCATATGCACCGCTTTCTCCGGGAAGAGGAAGCGGACGGTGTAAACAACTGAGCGTCTGGTGCGGGAGCCTCCGTTGAGCGGAGGTGGGAGGCGTAGCCGCTGTGCCGTGGCGATGCGGAGAGGCCAGTGAGTGAAGCGGCCGGCGGGCGAGCGAGGAGCCGAGCGAGGGAGTGAGCGGTCGAAACTTGACCAGTGACACCCACCCGGCAAATGCTCCGATGCAGGGGAGGCAGCAGGTTCGCCCAGAGCCAGATGAGTCCCTGCAAAGACGTGTTCTCTCTCCGCGAAAAGTCGCTGTTTTCCCCTAAGCTCCTCCGGCCACCGAAGGAGCGCTGCCTCCTGCCGTTCCTGCTTTGTTCATTCTCTCGATCCAATAAATCTTTTTCACTCCTGACAGAATGACGCGACCGGTGCCAATAAGACACACTTTTGACCCAGCGGACTCTGACTTTTTCGAGCGGCAGGAGGCAGCGCTCTCCATGTGGGCAGAGAAGCTTCAGGGGAAACAGGGAGCAAATCTTCGACATGACTCGTCTGGCTCTGGGCGGCCCTCGAAGATGCCAGGGTCCTCCACCTGCTGCCTCACCTGCTTCGGAGCATTCGCCGCGGAGAGTGGGTGTCACTTGCCAAGCTTTGGCCGCTCTCTCTCTCGCTGCTCCGCTCCTCGCTCGCCCGCCAATCACATCGCCCGCCTATCACAGGCCACTGCTCAAGACATTATCACTGCTAAACCTGGTAATTTCTCCCACTCAATCACCATTTCACCCATCAGTCAACCTTTTTCTGCTAGCAGGGCAGCTCAGAGACTGCCTTCCCTTCCATCTGTTTCACTTTCTCAGGTGAGGGCAGTTAATGCTCAGCCTGTCCCTGCAGCACCTCAGATGGCTAGGGCCCAGCTAGCACCCACTCGTGTGCCAGCTCCCAGGACGAGGGCAACTGTGACCCAGTCTACCTCCACACCCATTCCTGTTTTTCAGGTGGGGGTGACTGTTGCCCAGCCACCTCCCGTGGCTTTCCTAGCACCCAGGGTGAGGGCAGCCAGAATTCCACCTGACCCCCCTAGAGGCTCAGCTGAGACTCTCCAGCTAGTGCCCTCATGCTCTGGAGGCTCGGAACAGCTAGCCTGTCCACCTGCTAATCCAACACCGCTTCCATCTCCTGATCCAGCCTTTCATGCCCTCCCACCTTCCCTGGTGCCTTCAGCCTGCCTTCAGCCAGAGGTTCCCGCACCTGCTGACCCCACTTGCCTTCAGCCAGAGGTTCCCGCACCTGCTGGCCCCGCAGCTGCCGCTCCGTCACCGCTGGCTACATCACCGCCGGCTCCTACACCGTCGTCTGAAGCTGCCCCTCCGTCACCTGCAGCTGCCCCCTGTCGCCATGCAGCTGCCCCTCCGTCACCACTGGCTCCCATGCTGTCGCCTGCAGCTGCTCCTCCGTCGGCTCAAACGCCGTCGCCGGCAGCTGCTCCTCCGCCGGCTCCCACGCCATCCTCTGCAGCTCGTCGTCTGCAGCTCGTCTCCGGCCTGGTCGGCCTCCGGACCTGCTCAGTCGCCGCCACTGCCTTCGGCATGGCCGGCTTCTGGACCTGCTCAGACGCCGCCACTTCCTTCTGTGTGGCATGCCTCTGGACCTGCTAAGTCGCCGCCACTGGCTTCCGTGTGGTGGGCCTCTCGATCTGCTTAGTTGCCTCAGCCACTGGCCGTGTGGCTGCCTGTTGGATCTGTGTTTCCACAAGCCCCGCTGGTTTAGAAACTTATTCTCGTTAACGACAAAAACAAGATGAACATCTTTTACTTGCTAGCAAGGGAAGTCTTTGGTTAAGAACCAGCTCTTGGAGCTCACGCTCCTAACCTGCCTCTAGCCCAAAGTCCTTTAAAGAGCAGCTCGCTGGCAGCTATTTATTGACAAACTGTTACAATACACAATACAACACAAGCACCTACCACCGTAAACCCCCACAATGGTTCTAAGACAAGGCATTATGTGTGTGTATGTGTAAGCATCTATATCCATGTGCAAGAACCTTCGGCCGCCAGGTACCGGCCTTTGAAAGGAGGGGCGGGGGGGTCATCTCTTCCTCACCTCCACACATGACACTCCTGACATTAAGCCACGGAAATGATTTTTTAAATATAAAAACTATGACTTTGATTCTGAATTTATGGTTTTTGTCTGTGTTCAGATCAATTGTGTTAATGCAGTATGTCAAAATGAAAAAGAAAAAAAGTACATTCAGACATGTGAGATCGTGCTGAAAAGAGAGCCAAGTAGGCAAAGTAGTCAAAAACGGCCAATTAAACCCTGGACCCCAGAGGGTCAGTAAAAGTTTAAAGTAACACAATGGTTACTTTTCCTAGTAATTACTTTTTCAAAGTACCTTGCCCAACACTGGTCTTGAGACACCGAGTATGGTGATTTAGATCTGAAAAAAAGAAGAATGAATTAAAAAACAATACTAATGATAAAGTGTTAGTATAATTGGTTATTAAGACTGAGCAGTGGATTTCTATGACTGCTCCTTCTTGAACTCAATAAATTGGATTTATTTTTCAGCTCCAGAAACATGGCTGACACAATAAATGTGACTTCATCTTCCAACCAGACCTGCGATGCTGTTAACACTTCAGCCTATCCTTTCTTTATGCTGGTCTACAGTCTAGTGTTCCTGGTAAGTTTCAAATCATCAGATCACTGTTAAAAATGTGTTAAAGGTTCTCAGTGTATGTGCTGAAGTCCTGTCCTCTCCATCCTTTCTGTGTTTCTTTAGGTGGGTTTACCCCTCAATGGCTTCATCATGAAGTTTCACTTTTGTGGAGCACAGCAGCGGGCATCGAGCAGCTTGAAGATCTACCTGAAAAACCTGACAGCTGCTGACTTCCTGCTCTGCCTCTCTTTGCCACTCCGCATCACCCACTATGCTAGCAGCTCTGTCATCATTCGGCAGCTCTACTGTAGTTTTGGAGCTTGTGCCATCTTCCTCAACATGTACGCCAGCATCATATTCATGGGCTACATCGCTGCCAACAGGTAAACGTCATGATGAAGATTAGAGGAACCTTTTACTGAATTCACACTGCATTTCATGACAATGTTTTTACTACAAATTCTGATAGCCTGACTAAATCACTGACATCACTTTTGACTTTATTAATTTCTACTGATCTGAAACCACTGTGACTGATTAATGAATAGTGACTGATTCATCTACTCAACCCCCGTTTCTTTTCTCTTCAGGTATCTAAAGATCATCCAGCCTTCAGGAACTCACATCCTGCAGACAGCAAAAACTGCCCACATCATTTCCATCATTACCTGGGTGTTTCTCCTGGTTCCGACTGTGACATACACCATCCTGTTTTTCATCACCCAGACCCCTGTGACCTCTAACCCCAGCTGCTGTGATCCCTTCTTTAGTGAATCAATCAAGCTGTTCTTCACAATCATCCACACTTTGTCTCCCATTATCTTCTTGTTGGTCTCCATATGTATGGTCTTCTTCTACTACAGCACCTCCCGCAGGGTGTTGCAGGCACAGCAGAGTCAGCTGGCCTCCTCTGGCTCCGAGAAGCTTGTGAAGTCTCGCAGGAACATGTTAGTGCTGGTCAGCATCTTCTGTGTTTGTTTTGTCCCCTATCACCTGGCTCGTCTTCCCTATAGTCTTCTGTGGAGCAATGACTCTGTAGGCTCAGTCTTGAACTATGTAATGGAGGTGACCACCATGGTGGCAGTTTTCAATGTCTGCCTGGACCCTGTTGTTTACTTTTTCCTCTGTAAGTCTTTCCGGGCAAAGATGAGGAAGGTGGCCATTGTGACCAATATCCGACAAGCAACTGAAGAGAGTGAGCTCAGCAAGGAGCATCTGGACATTAACAGTCTGCAGGAGACAGACACAACACTGTGAGCACAGAAGCAGGCATCAAGCAGCTTTCAACTCTGCCCTCAACAGTTCTCTACGTTTCATATACTGATATAATCTCAGCGATTTTAGTAAAGATTATTTACTTTTGTTACGTTAAAGAAAGAGGAATTTTCTGATCTTGGCCCATGAGAAGTCCATAACAAATAACTTGGTTATGAATGAATCTGTAAGAGTTTTTGGAAAGGAAAGCAAAAGACATCCCAGTGTACTTCAGACCCAGCAACACAATCAGACAGAAACTGGTTCATCCCGAACACAAAACTCCTAAACACAGACTTAACAATGTGGTGTATGCTGTACAGTGTAGCAAGGAATGCCCAGACCTCTACATCGGAGAGACCAAACAGCCACTTCACAAGCGCATGACACAACATAGAAGAGCCACCTCCACAGGACAAGACTCAGCAGTCCATCTGCATCTTAAGGATGCCAATGTTCACATTTTGGACAGAGAGGACAGATGGTTAGAAAGAGGAGTGAAAGACACCATTTTTGTCCACTGTGAGCGACCATCTTTGAGCAAAGACACCAGCTGTCTGCCATCTATAATCCAGTTTTGAGATCCCTTGCCAGACACCTTAACGCCCACTCACATCCTGGGCCATCTGGCCTCAGGAAATCACATGATGGGGTGGGGCCAGGTTTCACAATGAGCTCACCCGAAACCCTGGCTGATTGTGACCTAAACCCGTTTTCACACCTTGGCTCATGTGATTACGTAGAAGATCCCTAAGGGGTCCCTAACCCTCTTGGGGACACTCGCATAGGGCTTAAAATCTGTGACTCTCCTCCAATTGCTCTTAGAACATCTTGCTTAACTGTAACTAGCAATGAATTTAAGAATATCTTTAATCCATTCATCCATCTTCTCCTGTATATATGTGTATTACATATATCAATAATGTGATTAGGTAGAGGATCATTAGGGGGTCGATTGTCCCTCTCGGGGGAATAATCCCCAAATCTGGGACTCCCCACCATTTGACCTTAGAACTGAAGAAGCTTCTTGTATGAGAGGTGAAACGTCTTCAAACAACTTAAAGAAGTCCAGACGCTTTTCTTTCCAAGGTCCTTAGACTACGATGAGCTGGATGACTGAGAACCTTCACAGACAAGCAGGAGACTGTTGTTGTACAGTGGATTGAAGAGAGAGAGGAGCAGTTCGGTTTCAATCAGAGTTCAGTTCCTTGCAAAATAAATAAGCTTAAAACAAGACAAAATCTGTTGTTTTCTACAAACAGTGTTGGGGAGTAATGGAATACATGTACCACCGTTACATATTTAAAATCCAAAATATGAGTAACTGTTTTCCGTTAGTGGTACTGTTTAAAAAGGTAGTATTCAGAGTACAGTTGCTTACACAGAAGTCTGTTCCTGTTTCGTATGTTAGGCTATGCCCTCTCTATTTTAGGTAATTCCACGGTGGTGGAAACCTAAACAAAACACGCATTAAGAGGCTCTAATGCCTGTGTCTCAATCTCGAGTCTCATAATGGCGTGAGGAAATATTTTTAAGAATAATTTAATATGAAGGCAAAGCGGAGTGTTACAGGTATAGCCCTAAAGAATGTAGCCTCGTGGGTAGGGATGGTATCGTTTAGGTTTTATCTGATACCGGTGCTAAAACAGTACTTTTGAAATGGTGCCGGTGCTTAAACGGTGCTTAAACTGGTGCTTAAAGAATGAAGAACACAAACTTTGTCCAAAAACCTCTCACGTTTAGCTGTTTTTTTTTGTAAAAAGATAACAATGTTAGCCTTTTCTGCAGCTATAGGGCATATATGGTATCACTCTTGGCTGGAAGCAATGCTTAAACAGTGGGAAAAAATCCAAAAACCTCTCATATTTAGCTGTTTTCCACTTTTTCTTTGGTCATTTTAGCCTTTTTGGCCAGGGTGAAGAGAGTATCTGCCATCAAACAAGAAGACAGCCGCATGTAACTACAACGGTGTTTGCTAGTTCACCTTACGTGCATTAATGTAATAACGTGGTTAGCCTACTCAACGTAAATTACACACGAACAACATTAAGCTACTCGCCCAGAGAAGAACGGCTGCTGCTGCCATCATCATCCGTCATCATTTCTGCTACACTGGCAGGGCTAGGGGCCAGGACTCTACTCTTTGGGTTTTTGGGGGATGTTGCAAACTCCGGGCCCGATAACAGGCACCACACCTGCAGTAGATGTGCACAGTGTGAGGTCTCGCAGCAAGCTATCAAATACGGTGCATTTCTCGGCTTTTAACAAAACGCTATATGTCTCAAGGTTTGTCGTCAGATTCAAGGTGTTACCTCCTTTGACAGTATCACAGTATCAGCTTAAAGCACTTGTTGCAGGCTGCTGAGTTTGCATCTTTTGCTGTGAAGTACAGCCAGACTTTTGACCGCTTCGCCTTGGGCATTTTTAATCTGTAGCTCTTCTCTAAAAGAACGTACGTACCTTGGCCCGCTTACTATCCTTGCAAAGGTAAAATTATTGGCTAGAATCCAAAGTGTATCACATCTCAGGAAAAAAGGCAACTACCGTTTATGTCAGACCGGTACACATCCCTACTCATTGGCAGTGTAGTCTGTGCCGCAGGGAGAATGGACTGCCATATCCGTTATGTGTCTGTGAGCGCGAGGGAGGGAGAAAAAGGAGAGGCTCAGAGAAGAGCTCGAGAGGATGTGGAGGGTGAAGGTAACGGTGGTCCCCGTGGTAATCGGAGCACTAGGTGCGGTGACTCCCAAGCTAGGCGAGTGGCTCCAGCAGATCCCGGGAATAACATCGGAGATCTCTGTCCAGAAGAGCGCAGTCCTGGGAACAGCTAAGATACTGCGCAGGACCCTCAAGCTCCCAGGCCTCTGGTAGAGGACCCGAGCTTGAAGGATAAACCGCCCGCAGGGGCGTGCTGGGTGTTTTTTTTTTTTTTTTATATATACACACATATACATATATCACTGACTTTCAGCTTGTTGTGTTTGTGGATATATGACTGACTTTAATTATTAAACATTCGCACATAAATAAGTGACGTCATATTCAGTACTTTTGACAGTTCACCCTTCGGCCGCTCCATCTTATTAGGGAAATTCCATATACATAAATGTAAATTTCAAAACTCAACCCCATCATTTAATTTGTTTTTGATTGAAATTGAATATTACTTAAACTCTCTTAAATTAACTTCCACTAAAAAAGGTTTATCATTGATTGAAATTCATTCAGAAATGTTTAACGAATGAGCTGTCACAACTTTCAAGTACAAAGTTGTTATGAAGTCTGTCACATTCCCCCCCCCCCCTTTTTTTTTTCCTTTTGTTATTTAAGAGATAAGATAAAACTTTATTAATCCCTCGGGTGGGTTCCTCTGGGAAATTCGGTCGCAGAGGATTTATCCTTCTTATTTCATTGTACTGTATATTGTTACTCTTATTTGCCTTGTATGTCTACTGTACAAACTGAAGTGGAATGACTGGCTGTTCGCTTTATAATTTCAATAAAGTTTGAAAAAAAAAAACTCTTCGGCTGCTCCCTTCTGCCGTATTTTGCGGCAAAATTATCCACACCCACCGCCGCGCTATGAATTGTGGGATATATGGGACCACGAAGTGTGCACTGGACCACGCTTGATATTTGGGGAAATCGACGGCGCATTTGTAGTATGCATTTGAAGCACACTTCGAATTGGGACAGCCGTCGTCGTGTGGCGGTGACGTAACCGCACTTAAAATGCGTACTTCAAACGTGCAGACCCTGAATTGGGACACAGCCAACATGTCTTGAAGTTCTCCACAGGTCTGGTAATGAGCTAATCATTTGATTCAGGTGTGTTTACCCAGGATGAGATGCAGGGACACCAGCCCTCATGGACTGGGATTGATTTATGTGATGGCATGCCATATCTGGCCCGATTTTGGTTTGTTGTATGTGGCCCAGGGCCATAGAAAACAGGTCTTCCCTGGATCCGGCATCAAGCTGGCAAATTAACACCAGTGAACTCATTGGGGTTTCTTTTCTGAATCTTATTAACAGTTTTTATAAGCAGGTCTTCTCTCTGTTTTAATGCCGAGAGGAACACACATCAAACCCTGAAGAAGAGTTAAAAGGGACTGCTGAATATTCTGTAGTAATCTTGTTTTTAACATTAAGTGGAGTTCACACTTTCATTTTTACAATAGAAAGGACATTGGTCAGGATTGTAGAATAACTACAGGTCTGCAGTGTAGAAAACCTTTTACATAAAGACATAACAGCTATTTCGAGGTTGATCCTAGAAAGTTGATTTTCCTTATCTGGATGTTGGTTTTCAGTGGGAGAAATGTTTTGTGAGTGCTTCGGTTTCTTTTAGAAATGTTTTTCCGAAAATACAACGGCCAGATCAAGAGAATGAAGTTTCTGGGATTTCCTTACCTGGATGATTGACCATGTATCAAGAGATTTGGGGGTTCGTGTGCGCAGATATCTGACAGGTGCTGTACACTTAATGTTCAGGTTCCTTGTCAGTTTGTTACATTCTGTTGTTTACTGTAGGAGTGTAATTTGGATTACCAATGGGAAAATGGCCTGTGTCTATATTTTATGCAATAGCAGTGGCCTGTGATTTTAAGAGATTGCAAAGCATTCTGGTTGGTGAAGGATTTTTTAATCGTTCAAACAACAGAGACCAACTCTGGGCTGTTTCTGTGGTTAGAAATAAAAAAGTTAAAAATTTAAAAGTAATTACAACATTCTACAGCACATTTGGCTTAATTTCTAACCTTTGTACCCTTTTCTCCACACTAACTTGTAGCTCAAACAGTTCACTACATTTATATCTCATTTGCTTTCTTTAAATTTTTTAGTGATGCAGTTTTTAAAAAAACAATTGTCACTAATAGCTGCATGGTCATCCACTTTCCTGCTTTTGAGAAACTTCAGTTTTACTGCAGGCCTGAACTCATGCACCTATGGACACACACACACGTACAATGTTAGACTTTTAGGAGTACATTAATCTTGTG